TCAGCAGGCTTTATTTCAGTCTTTGGGACCTCATCATTAGTGACCACTGCCAAAGATCCCTGCTGTTCAAACCACTGCAATGATTTGCCAGTCCTGTTGCTTATTATGGTCACTGTGCCCACCACATTTCTAACAGTCAAAGGCCACTTTCTGGCCTTTGACTTTCCAGGGTGATTTTCATTTTTCATTTTCCAGGGTCATCCCTATATTAATCAATGGAGCCCATTTCAACCTCAGCATCTGTTGGCTTCACCCTACCTGAATAATAATAATACTTACATTTAAAAACAGATACATGTAAATCCACCCAAATATTCCCATTTTGATTTTCAGGTTTCCACTCTTTCTGCAATCATACCTTTCATATGAGAGACCTATAGAGGCTGTGAATTCATTTTATATTGTATTTATGCAATCAGTATATGGTTAGATTTGGGGCCAATTTTTGGCTCCATTGGCTCTGCAGCTACACGAGAGAAGATATTCTTTGTATAGCAGGTATAGAAGGTGTCTGGTTCTTTGACAGTGACTTAAGTCAAAAATATAAGACCCTGAGCCTACTAGGTTTTCTTATTTAAGTTCTTTTCTAAGCAGTTAGCCTTCCCATTATAATTGTCAATTGCAACAACCATTTGGTCTGCTAAAAGCTTGCCTTCAATAGCCACTTTATTCTAAGGTCCCATAGGTGATAATTAAATTACTGGATGCCACAAACTCCCTGTATCCCATTTTCAAGTGGAAACAAAGCCATTCAGGTCAGATATCAAACAAAAGCCAAATCAGAAATCCGATCGTAGACTACCCAGGACAGCAAAAGAAAAACACGTAACTCCAGAAATAGACCCACACGTGTTTTTATGGTCAGCTGATTTAGACCAAGACACCAAAGCAAGCCAGTGGGGAAAAGAAGGTCTTTTCAACTCACTTGGCTGTGCATATGGAAGAAGTGAATCGACCCATATCACATCACACATGGCAATTGTTTCAAGATGAATTACAGATCTAAATGTTAAAGCTAAATGATGGTAAAGCTTCTAGAATAAAACAGTAAAATGTGTTCTCAATATTAGAACAGGAGAAAATTTCTTAGATAGGACTCAGCATGTACTAACCCTGAAAGAAAAAATTGATTAAATGGATGTAATAAAGATTGAAATCTTCTGCTTGTTAAAAGACACCATTAAGAAAATAAATAAGGGGACCAACCTTATGACATAGTGGTTGAGTTCATGTGCTCTGATTCAGTGGCCCGGGGTTCATGGGTTTGGATCCCAGGTGTAGACCTGCACACCTTTCATCAGGCTGTGCTGTGGTGGCATCCCACATATAAAGTGGAGGAAGATTGGCACAGATGTTACCTCAGGGACAATCTTCCTCAAGCAAAAAGAGGAAGATTGGCAACAGATGTTAGCTCAGAGTCAATCTTCCTCACCAAGAAAAAAAATAAAAAAGAACAAAAGGAAAATAAATAGGTAAAACACAGACTGGGAGAAAGTACTTACCATATATAAATGTATGGTATATATAAGCAATTCCTATAATTTAATAATAAAAAAATCCAAATTAAAAATGGGCAAAAGACTTTAACAGGCATTTCACCAAGAGAGGTAAACAAATGATCAGCAAGTGTATGAAAATGTGCTCAACAACATTTGGAGGGAAATGCAAATTAAAAGAATAACAAGATGCCACTTCATACCCATAGAATGGAGAAGTTAAAAAGACTGATGATGCCAAATGTTGGTGGAGCAACTAGAACTCTCACCTGTTCCTGGGGTTGTGGGGTGAGTGGTGTGAAATGTTGTAACTACTATGGATATCTGGCAGTTTCTCTTAAAGTTAAACATACACCTCTTCTAGACCCGGAAATTTTACTTCTAGGTGTTTACCCAAGAGAAATGAAAACGTATACACAAAGGATTTGTTATGAGACCCTTCGTAGTAGTTTTATTATTTTTATAATAGGCCCAAGCTGGAGAAAGTTCAGGTGCCCATCAAGATGAGAAAGGATAAGATAATTGTGGTATGGAATAATACCCGGCAGTAACAAGGAGCTACTAACACATGCAACAACATAGATGAACCCTGAAAATATCATATTAAGCCCAAAACAGACACAAAAAAGTCCATACTATGTTATTCCATTGATAAAAAGTTCTAGGGCCGGCCCCGTGGCTGAGTGGTTAAGTTCATGCACTCTGCTTTGGTGGCCCAGGGTTTCGACAGTTCATATCCTGGGCACAGACCTAGCACCACTCATCAAGCCACACTCAAGTGGCGTCCCACATAGCACAACCAGAAACATTCACAACTAGAATATATAACTATGTACTGGGGGGCTTTGGAGAGAAGAAGAAGAAGAAGATTGGCAACAGATGTTAGCGCAGGGCTAATCTTAAAAAAAACCTTCAAAAAAAAGTCTATAACAGGCAAAACTAATGCTCCGTGGAAGAAACCAGAATAGTGTTTGACCCTGGCAGAAGGGAAGGAAGGTGGGAGCAAGCTGGAATTGGGAGGGAAAGGACTTTCGAGGTCTTTCTAGGTGATGGAAATGTTCTATGTCTTGATAGGGGTGTAGGTTACATGGCTATAAGCATTTTTAAAAACTCATCAAACGTTATACTTAAGATCAGGGCATGTCTCTCTGGGTAAATTGTGCCTTAATTTGACAGCAAAAAACTCTACTTTTAGCTCCCACTTCTTCCTTACAGGATTGGCAAAAAGCTGCAAGTTTGAGAACGTGCTTGTGCGGGAGGCAGAGCTCCCTTTTGCGTGCACACACGCCCTTTCACAGGAGCCTGGCCGAGTGGCCCGGCTGGTGGGGCTTCTCTGTCAGCCTGCTGCCCTGAGCAGAGGGCACAAGACACAAGACTGTGACTTCTCTCAGTCTCTTCCAGCCTCTGCCCTCTGAACTTGAAGGCCAGGTTCCTCCCACTGCCTCCTCTTACACGGAAAAGAGGAATTTCTTTTTAAACCTACCTTTTTCGGGGACACTAACCCATCTGCTTGCAGCCATATTTCTCTGCTTAGCAACAGCTAGAATTCTTGCGGTAACTGCAGCTTTGGCAAAACTTAACTACATACTGATTTTTCCTGCCCTCACCCACCTATATGTTTCTTTGCCTCCCCTCTCTCTAGAGTCGGATGGTACCCAGCTGTCCTCTTCTGATGAAGCCGATGAAGGCAGGTGTAGAGAAACTGTCTTTTCATCCTCTCTTTTTTCCCTCTCAGGATGCATCTGCAGGGAAGTTGGTGGTTTCTCCTTTTTGTTTCACTTTCTTGTTGTTGTTCATAGCTCAAGGAACTCCACTTACGGCAAACTCATAAAAACACACATCTTTTTGAATACTCTACTGCTTTTCCCTCTCTCTTCAAAAATGTGCTGAGTTCCCTCAGAAAAGAATGCCACTCATTATGTCTTGCCTGGTTGAAAAAAATCATGCTCATGGGTGATTGGGTGAAGGATGGAGAGTCCACCCACTGTTCCAGATAGCCCGAAACGCACCCTGGGACTAAGTTAAACCCTCACACAGCTGTTTGCTGGAACACCCTCCCAAGGCCAGTAATGTTCTTCCTTTGATTCTGTGCTACCCCAGTATACTTCTCATTTCCATTTTTGCTTCAGGTTGAGTTTCTGATGCTTGCAAGCAAAAGTCCCTTCGTTAATACAACCCATTAGCTGTGTGTTTCTTTCCCACCTCATCTCTAGGACATTTATACTTCAATGATTTCCTGATCCTGAATCTTAGCATTGTTACTCCTGATCTTGGAGAGCCAAAGCAGAATTTATGGGGGCTCTGGACTATGCGATAGCTATGGAAGCAAAGGAGGGTGAAGAACAAAGATCTTTCTGGAAACCAAATCTATAGGTCTCAGGAATGAGCTACAAATGAAGGGAGACAGAGGACTTGGAATGCTTATTTCAAGAGCAAAAGAAATTTGGGAGCTGTGTACCCCTTTGGAAAGTGAAAGAAGCTATGGAAGGACACTTGTTGCAAGAAAGGAAAGAGTAGGTTCTCTGTTTCCGAGGTCCCTGGCATGCCCCTCTCCCTGGGAAGGTGATCCATCCAAACCTTTGGAGATGCCTCGAGCTGCAACTGGTAACCTGCCTCCAAATTCCAGGGGAACCAGAGGCCTTTTAGTGGGTCCAAAGTATGTTTTAAGCACTCCTATAGGTAAATGATTATTTCTGATGTAACGAATCATATGAGAATCTTTCCTCATAACTTGTACCCCACCCTTGACCTTACTCCACAAACTGAGAAGGACACTTGGTTTTGAGGCAATACAGTGTTTAATCATGGGCATAATAGAAGCACCACAAAATACAGTAACGAGATGGCCCAGGATGATAGAAGCAGACTGTGCCCAGAGTCTGGCTCGTGCCTGTAGGGCTTTCCTGACAGTGAGGTCTCTGTGTTAATCCATAACAGATAATTAGACACCTTCGTGTACACTCCAGGCAGTTGCTCCTGGCCACAGCCCACTCCCCAGCTGACAATGCCCAGCTGGTACCATAGGCTGTTGTTGTGTTTTTTCTGGCAAACCAGAGGCCCCCCACTGTCACCCTAGGAAAGAAAAGTTGTTTGGGAGTCGAAGGGAGAGTAGCAAATCACTCCTATAGCCTATTGAGGTGTGGGAACCTGGCACAAGGCAAAAAGCACTTATGATGTCTTTGATGAGCGGACTGTTTTAATTTTGATAAGGCTCTCCAACTCCACGACTATGCTCCCAGCTCTGTGGCTGTCAGAAAAGGTAGCAAACAATTGGTCAAAAGCAATGGTGATGAATGACAATTTAGTCAAAAAGTAAATATCCACCATTATCATCATCATCCAGTTGCATGCATTCATTTTGATGCACCATGGAATGGTTTTGCAATCCATTTTGCCTCTAAGCACTTTTGTTGTTTTTCAGAATTCTTCCAATCTTTCCCTGGCCTTTTTACTTCAAATCCACTTTCAGTCAGCCCATTTTGTTCTTTCTGTATTGTTCACAGGAGCAAAGTAAAACACAAAAACAAAAATCCATTATGCCTCATCATAGGTCATTGGTTGAATATAGCAGGCATACAAACTGACATATACAAAATGCAAAAAATATAAAAATGATATCGAAATATTGTATTGTGGTTTAAAACATTAAATTTTAAACAGCTTACAAATTTTAAAACATCTTGAAAAAGATTGCCAAATAAGTATGAGTAAGCGGAACAGACATCATTGACACAAAAATCGAGGAAAACATATACTGCCTTTCATGCCCCCAAAGCTCCTGGGCCATTTTTAAAATTCTGTTAAAGAATAACGTATCTTCATCAAAAAAAATCAGAAAACTCAGATATGGGAAAAGAACATGAAGAATACCCATAATTGTATAGATAAGTAAATTTATATATAAACACACATGATTGTGTGTGAAAAGACTATTTCCGGTAAGATATGGTAACACAGTAACAATGGCTTCTCTGGGGAGTGAACCGGAGAACAAATGTTAGAGGTAAACTGCCTCCTCACTGTACACCCATCTGTACCACTTGCCTCTTCTTTACCACGTACTCATATAAATAAACGAAATAAACATTTCTGACTCCAACCATCAGAGGCAACTCCTTAGTCAACTATAACTTCCTACATCCTTGCGTATGCAAATATGCATCCATCGCTATTATTTTACAGAAATAGGGTCAGGCAGTACATATTGCTTCACAGCTTACAAAGATTTATTTTTGAAAATATTAAGTGACATACAAAAATGTTGAAAAGAAGCACCATTCAAAGATGTGCCAAAAATCCAAATACAAAACAAATAAACAAAAAAACCAAAAAACTGGCTATGGGTTTATTTGATTTTTTTTCCAACCAGATTGTGGTTATCATGAACAAATTGCTATGCCCATCAACTTACTTTGAACAAAATTATTCTTTACCAAATTCCTTGAAGTCATTGGAAAGTCCCATGACCTTTCTTTAAAGAATTGTAATCGCTTCCCTGGAGATGAGGGGATCTACGTGAAAGATGTTGGGCAGAATAGCAGCCCAGTTAAGAACTTAAACTTCCGGAGTTAAAGCCCCCGGTGAATATCTAGCTGAGAGAATGTGAAAAATTTTCTTCAGCATTTCAGGGCTCAGTTTTTACGCTGATGAGAATAATTGTACCTCTCCCACAATAATTGTACCTCCCTCTCACGTGGTAAGCCTCTACTCAGTGAGCTCCCAGCATTTTTGTGAATTTTTGTTGAACAGGCGAATCTGCACGTGGTCAGGCTGAGCTGCTGGATTTGGAGCCCCATTTCTCCTGGAACTCAAAAGATGGCCCTAACCCCAGAAGTCAGTTCCCTTCATTAGAACTCTGGTGTGTTATTTATCTTGCTGGTGTGTCCTCTGCAAGGCTGTCAGCTTCACTGATCCTCAGTTTCTCCATCTGAAATAGGCCTGCTTCCTAGGGCTAATTTATAACCCTTTCATGTAATATTTGTGGAAACAGTTTGTATGCTATTGAGCATTGAGCAGGTGTAAGAGATGGTGATGGAGAAAATGATATTGCTAAGATTTACTTTGACCCTCCTCTCCTCCATGTGGTTCTAAGTGCCTTTGTGCGTTTGATTCGCTTGATTTTCACAGCAGACCTAAAAGGGAGGAACTCTTAGTATTTCCGTTTTACAGATGAGGAAACCTGAAAAGGCACAGGCACAGAGGGAAGTCACAGGTAATAAGTAGAGGAGCTGGGAGGGAGGCTAGGGGAGCCTGCACCCCAAACCATCACCCTGCACTGCCTCCCTTTGGTTACAGAGCATCTGTACTGAGTTGAATAGCAGCCCTCTCAAATTCACGTCCACCCAGAACCTCAGAATGTGACCTCATTTGGAAATAGGGTCTTTGCAAACGTAATTAGTTAAATTAAGATGAAATCTTACTGGATTAGGGTGGGCCCTAAGCCAATGACTGAAATCCTTATAAGAAAAGAAAACAGAAGAGACACGCACACAGGGGAGAAGTCCATGTGAAGACTGAGGCAGAGATTGGAGTGATGCAGACACAAACCAAGGGATGCCACGGATTGTCGGCAAGGATGAGAAGCCAGAAAAGGTAGGGAAGGATCCCCCGCCAGAGCCTCCAGCCTGAGCATGGCCCTGCTGATGCCGTGAGTTTGGACTTCTGGACTCTGTGAGAGAATATGTTTCTGTTGTTTTAATTCACCCTGTCTGTGGTCATTTGTTGCAGCAGCCTTAGGTAACTTATACAGAGGAGGAAGAGGGGAGCCAATTATCCTGGAACCGTGGGCCAGCCCTCTGTGGCAGCCCCTCTCCAAGCAAAGGACAAGCTCCATTACCTGGCAGGCGTCCTTCCCACCTTGAGGATTCCCAGCACACAGCATGTTCTTGGTGAGCATAGACATCACTTCAGAGCACATGTTCCATTTGACCAGCTCAGTGTTGACTTTATGCAGCTCTGCATTCACACCTTGCATTGGAGCTGACCCAAAGAAGAAGATGGGGAGAGACCCTGAACTCAAAGTGGTCCCTTTAGGTTGAGGTCAATCATTCACCCACATCATATCTTTTCACCTCAACAACAAGGGAACTGCTTTATGGCCCAGAGAATAACCTAAATTCGGATGGAGTGAGGAGGAAGTGAGAGTGGTGTCCAGGAGACTCTCGAGCCCACCCTCTCTGAATCCAGAGCTCCCCAGGACTGAGTCTTTATGGAATCTCAGCCTAGTGCACCACTTCTCACCCTGAAGAAGGTGCCAGTCTCCAGCTAAGGTCCTAAAAAGGTGTTTTGTTTAAATCCGTAAGGATGTAAAGAGAACCCAAGATGACAGGTTCTATCCTGGGGCCCACGGCACATAAAGAAGGGCTTGAATCACGTCAGGGTCCTTGAGCGGTTCATTACCTATGGAGGAGGTGAGTCCAACACTAGAATGTTCACTCCTTGAAGGTGGGGATATTTTCCTCTTTGTAAGTTGCTGAGCCTAGAACCTCGCCTGGATCATAGAAGAAGTTCAAGGACTATATGCTGTACAAAGCTCAAGGAACTCTAAGTTGGGAAGGTGGCTTTGTTTTAAAGGGCAATTCCCAACGAGGAATTCTAAAACAGCTCTGAGCTTTGAGACCATGTAGGAATCAATGTACCGCCATTTAGATACCTAATTGGAAGAACAGAACCAACTGGAATTTTTTTCTGCTCTGTTGGTTTTGAGGCAAGACACACTTACCAAGAAGAAAGACAAAAAGGCACATTTTGTGGGTTGGCTGGGAGAAGTAGCAGGGGTGCATTACTGGTTGACTCTATAAGGACAAGTTTATATTCAGTTTATGCCCTTCTCCTTAGCCTAGATCTGTGGTTTTCAGATATTTTAGCCACAGAGCCCTTTATCACAGGGAATCAGAACTGACATCATTAATTGGGACAGAGTTGCTGTGGCTGACATTGGTGTGGCCTTCTTGGAACCCAGTCCATTTTGCCACCCCTTTGCCTATCAATAAGTCCCTCAAAATCCTTCCAAATCACCCCTCAGACTCTGAAAACCTCTGCATGGGTTATCACTGAGGCCTTGTTTAGAGTTTATGTTTCACAATATGGACATAAAACTTGCTACAGGAGCCCAGGAAGGCCCACAAAGGATGGCCACCACATGGACTGAGAAGGATCATCATAGAAACCTAAATGAGAACTTGAGGTCGCCAAATCCACCAGGCAGACTTCCCAGGGCCAGCAGAGCCTCCAGAGTTTGCTTCTCATGCAAACATCAGCCAGGGTGCTGGCCCCCCACTGGGTTGGGTTACAGTAACTCACCAGCAATGTCCCATCCAGTCACCCAGCAGTTTCTCCACCTCTGTATGTCAGTGACCTCTGAAAGGCAGATGGGTGCTTCACTGGCACTCAAGTTGAGTGGGGATTTGAGCAAGAGGAGAGCGATGTCATTATCCAAGAGCCAGCTGTCAAAATAAGGGTGAGTAATTAGCTTGTCCACTTGCATCTTCCTCAAGTTCTTGGTGTTAAAGAATCCTTGACCGTGTTTGACCTCCAAGGTAGATCTTATTTCAAAACAAAAGAAGGAGAAAAAAGGTAAGTGGTGAAAGGGCAAAAGATGAGCCTTAGGAGAAAATTCCACCAGTCTGAGGCTGTGATCCTGCGAGCTTCAGGGAGGGAGGCATCTGGGGCCATGAGCTTGGCATAGAGCTGGGGAAGAGATTCCTGACTGGGCAGCAGGAGATGGACCTGACTTCCAGTCCTGCCCTTTTCCAACCCGCTCTTGCCCTGATGGCCCCTTACTTGGGCAAATTCACTTGTAAATTTCATCAGCAAATGTCTAGGAAGCCGTGCTATGCACAAGTACTTGGGGACCTGACCTTGATTTGCAAGAATAGGGGGACTGGCTATATAACAAACACCTGGGAAGTTTCTCAAAAATATTGACTTCTGGACTCGAGTTAAGACAGCACCTAAGGATCTCCTGTCATGTAGCCAGGCCTGGTACCCTGCCCTTGGGTCCTAACCCCTTCTAGGATTCTCTGACTCTGTGGTCACTGTCAGCCTATGCTCTTCCCGAGTGAGAGCAAATGCTTAGGAAAGTACTTTCCAGAGGTTTAGACTAGGACCACATGCACTTGGCAAGACGCTGAGAAATCCAGGAAACGTTTGTTCTCCCATTTGGGTCCCACATAACCAGATGTAAAACATCTTAGGAGGAGAGCAGTGTCTCTCCCACCTGCACAGTGTGATGTTTGGCCACACGGGTGTGTATTTAGCCTCCTGGTATTTTGTTCTACGGCTGACAAACCTGGGTGGAGCTTCCAAAAAATTAACAAGCATGTAGGGGAAAATATTCTACCACACTGGTTAAAAAAAAAAGGCTGTTTGCAATACTTACTTATTTTTGTTTATGAAGCAATGGGACGCAGTTAGAACCCACCACTCACTGAGGATCGATCCTCCACAGAGATGTCGCCCTTGGTCAAGAATACTCACATGCCATGGGAAATCTACAATGTCTGCAGGTTCCCCACCTATGATTCCCAAAGCTTCTGACTTCTCAGATTTGTCCCACATGTTTCGGCCACATGTCACTAAAAGCAAAAAGAAGGAAGAGAGAGGAGAAAACCTGGCCCAACAGTCAAGGTTGGTTGGCTTGGAAAAAACTTAAGTGTAATGCCCGTTTCTCCTTGCCCCCCAGCACACAGACAGCAGTGCCTTAGCCAGGTTAACATCAGGTGGGAGAGCCATCCAGTCAGAATGATGCCCCCCTATGCCTACCAAGGGCACCACAATTGTGAGAATGGGCTTGTGGGGAGCAATGGCTGCTGCCTTCACTATGGCTTTGATTCTTGGAAGGGTCTCCCTCTAAGGGCCCTTGGGGAGGGGGCACCGCTACAAGCCCTGGGGCTGGACCTTGCTGTTGCACCCCAGTGAGGAAGCCCAAATGAGAACATTCATTTATTTGAAATTAGACCTCATTGTCCTCTGAAAATCAGGGCCTTGGTGTGGTGTTTTGGGATGCACATTTTCACTGGCCTCTCCACGTGGGTGACACAGACACCAGAAACTCTACAGGCAAAGAGAGATTGATCTGTCCCTTCCTTCCTATCTAGGAAGATTCCCCTCCTGTGTTTCCTATTGTGATTACTGGCACCATCTTACACCCAATTTTAATTCTAGGGATCATTCAAGTTGCACCTTCAAAGGAATAAAAATTTTGGCATTTCCTATGGGATAGGATTGTTTTGACATCTTTGATGTCTTTCAAATGTCATTTGAGTAATGAGGAAAATAAACATCATAAAATCTAAAATGCTGAGTGCTTACTATTTTTATTTTTAACATTCTGTTTTGTCTAAAACACAAACCCCATGGATAACTGAAATTATTATTGCCCCATTTTAAAGGGGAGCCAACAGAGATAAGTTTAAGGTTAGGACATCTGGTCAAGACCCAAAAGCTAATATATGATTGAGCTAAGATTTGAACTTAGGCAGTCTGCTTCCAGAGTCTGTTCTCCTAACCACTGGGCAAATTGTTTTTAAACTGTTAACCATGCTTATATATGGGGAGAAAAGGCAGTGCCATTCAAAATTTTTCACAAAGTATAATATGAAAGGTGTATTTATTGAAATCATCTCCACACCACACATTCCACCACCACGTGTCCCCACCACTTGTCACCATCATCACACCACTCCTCGCTGTCACATTTTACCACCACCAGTGCACATTGCCATCACTGCTGCTGCTTATCTCTGCCTTTGGGTTTCTCTCCTCCAACTGTCCTGGTCCTTTCAGCCCCCAGAAGTGCCCTGCTCCTCCCTGTCTTAGGGCTCTTCCCCATGTCTCTGCCAGAAAGACAGGCTCCTCCCTCATCCATCTTGCTCTTCTTTGTCTGTTTAATTGCTGTGTATCCTTCACATCTTAGCTCAATTATGAAGTCCCTTTAGAAATCTTCCTTGCCTTTCAAGATTACATAAGCTACCCTCGGTTTACTTTCTCGTTCAACACCATTCCCTCCCCTCAGAACACTAACAGTGATTAAATATTTGTGAAACTGTTAGTTTAGAGTCTATTTCATCCATTAAATTGTAATCTCTATGAGGGCGGGAACCATGTCTGGCTAATTTTTACATCCCCATTGCCCACCTTAGAGACTGGCATGTGGTAGAAACCCAATACTACTGATCGAATAAATGGATGGATGTATGGACGGGTGGGTGAGATGGGCAATAAAGATCTTAACATCCCTAAAATCTTGACCTATCAATAACCTGTACAGCTGATTAGAAATTGAGGGACCTCAGTTCAGATACTATTTCACCCCATACTCATGGAGGCAACTGCGCTTTGAGTTCCTAAATCAGGGAGCCTGGGGGAGGGGAAGGGAGAGTAAATCACCCATGGAAGTGTTGTCTCCTTTGAAGATACAAAGAGAGAATAAGTAGCTGGTGCCCAGGAGTACCTGTTCCCATGAAGGGGGACATGATTTGGTATTCCCAGTGGAACACCACACATTGCAAGGAACCTGCAGCCCAATCTCAGATGGAAGTGTTGAATTTTCAGGGCCCAAAAAGGAATCTTGGAACTAAAATGCAATAATGTTGAATCTCTGGGAAATGTTAAAAATACTTAATTAAAATAATAGTTTGTGGAAGTTTAAAGAAAATTACTGGTGATTACAAGTTAAATTGGATTCACAATTTAAAAGCCCCAGTATGCAGTCTTTTTTGCTACATAATGATAGCTGCCACTTACTGAGCACCTACCAGGAGTCAGCCTCTGTGTCGTGTGTGTCTGTGAGACATTTAATAATCCTAACAAACCTCTAAGATAGGTTTTATCACCCCCTTTTACGGACGAAAAAACAATCTCTGAGAGATCATGGTATTGCCCAAGGTCACTTAGCCTGTAAGAGGAACGTGGGGATTTTTCAGTCAAGTGTGTCTAGTTCTAAAGCCCAACTCTCTATTCATCTTGCTCATAGCTTGCAATAGGTCTATATTTCAGCAAAGCTTCTGCTCAATTCTTTTTTGGCCAAAATGATGGTAAGTGGTTTGGATGATTGCTCTCTAAGGTGAACGTCAAGCAGGTTGAGACATTACATCCAAAGTAGTGATCATGAACTCTGTGTCCACCTGGAAGGAAGCTTTCTGGGGTGAGGTGGGGAGAAGGTTTCACCTGGAGAGCTAAGTCTGACCTGTCTCTGGTCCTCTGCGTAGGACAAGTCCAAAGGCACATCTAAGCTTAGGAAAACAAAGGATGGCAACCTATCATCAGTTTCTGCTGAGGGTTCGGAGGTGCTGGAGCAGCACAGGACACCAAGCCAGGCGAGTGCTAATAGATGCCTTTAAAATTTAAATGGGTAAAAAGTCATCTCAAACTCGGAAGAAAAAGTGCATCATAATGCATGACACAAAACTGAGCAAGAATGAATATTATAGATGACAGACTTGAGATTGAAAATTAGCTGGCCAGGTCTGAATCCTGGGTGTGAACCATCAACAAGGAATCCACAGAAAGTCTTGCAACTCCCATTAGAAAAACAATAGATCCAAAGCTTGAGATTGTGAAGGGAGCCTTGGCCTGGAAGTTTTTCAAGAGGATATCAACCACAAGATGCTGACGAGATGACTAGACTGCTACGCTCTCCACCGCACAGACTGCAGGTCGTCAGTCTGGGGCCTCAAGGTGTAAGAATGACATTAACAAGTGGAGGGTGTTCAGAGGTGAGGAGCCAGCACCTTGGGAATCCTTACATTATAAGGAGCATAAGAGGAAAGAACACTCAGATGGGCCTTCAGACTCCTGCAGGATTTTCTTAAAGATGAAGTGTCAGGCTTGCTCAGATCTAGTATCAGTGGGTGGAGATCACTGGATGGTATGAAAAATCTTACAGAAGTATAAAAAATCTGCTACACTGTTGTATTCCACTTTGTTGGAAATTACACAGAATTGAGACTGACTTGGAGAATTTGAGACCTGTGGTTGTGATATTTAGGAGAGTCCGTGGGAGCCCAAGGATCTTGTTTATTCTTTTTTTTTTTTTTTAATTTATTGAGTTCTTAGTAGTTTACATCACTGTGAAATTTCAGTTGTACATATTTCTTGTCTGTCACCACACAAGTGCTCCCGGTCATCTCCTGTGCCCACCCCCCGCCCCTCCCCCCAGTAACTGCTGAACTGTTTTCTTTGTCCATGTGTTTGTTTATATTTCACATAAGAGTGAAATCATATGGTGTTTGTCTTTCTCAGTCTGGCTCATTTCACTTAGTGTAGTACCCTCCAGATCCCTCCATGTTCTTGCAACTGGGATGATTTTGTCTTTTTTTCTGGTTGAGTAGTATTCTATTGTATATACATATCATATCTTCTTTATCCAATCATCATACAATGGGCACGTGGATTGTTTTCATGTCTCCACTATTGTGAATAGTGCTGCGATGAACATAGGGGTGCATATGTTACTTTGGATTGTTGATTTCAAGTTGTTTGGCTAGATACCCAGTAGTGGGATGGCTGGGTCATGTGGTAGTCCTATTTTTAGTTTTTTGAGGAATCTCCATACTGTTTTCCATAGTGGCTGCCCCAGTTTGCATTCCCACCAGCAGTGTATGAGGGTTCCCTTTTCTCCACACCCTCTCCAACATTTGTTTTTCTTCTTGGTAATTATAGCTGTTCTGACCCGTGTAAGATGATATCTCACTGTAGTTTTGATTTGCATTTCCCTAATGATTAGTGATGTTGAGCATCTTTTCATGTGTCTGTTGGACATCTGTATTCTTTAATATAAAAATGAACTTGGTGGAATTTTTCTATAATGGAACAGGCTATCTGTAGAGTCTTCAGTTTTCTCACACATAAAATAATGGCATTCAGTAAAATCATCTTTAAGATTTTTTCCAGTTCTAAAACACTGTTCAGTTCAAAATGGTGAGGGGAAAATATTTTTCCTTAAATTACATTACTATGAAACACAACTATCTTTATTTAATTTCTTATATATAAACATTGAAGCAAATTTTAGCTTTATTCTTAATTTTTTCCTTAAGGGGTATACGATTTCACTTACAACACTTTAAATGCTGTATTGCTATTGATGTCAGGCTGCCAATTGTCGTGCAAACTGAAACGTGAAGGTATTTACATGAAAAGTCTTATGCAAGTACAAAAATTCTTCTGTTTTTATATGCTTGATGGTTCAACTTTGTTGAAAATTACATAGAATTAGGGCTGACCTGGAAAACAGGAAACCTGTGATTGAGAATTTTAGTAGAGTCCCTGGGAGCCCAAAGGATTTGCATATTCTGTAGACAGAGAACTGAATGGATTTTAGGGTCTGACAGCACCACAGAGCGAAACTCCTGGTGAAGGAGTTCAGAGATGGTTCCTTGCAAGTCCCACTGGAATGAAATCACTTCAGACTCTAGATTTTTCCCAAGTGACTGACTGAGCCAGATCCAGGATGTAACCAATCAGATTAAGATGAGGAGGTCTCATTTCAACTTTTTAGTCCAAAGTGGCTTCTCTTTGCCTGTACTATCGGGGTGTCTCAGAAATTCTTTTTCCCTCAAAAGATCCTATCAACGTGTTGGTGACCATGACAGAAAGAGGAGCATGACTGTTGAGACAGAACTCAAGTAGGGAAAAGGCACTGTGATTTTTAGCTCTGTCCCCGCTGACAGGGCACCTGGTGAAGAGGGAAGGAGGTGAGATTCGGCATTAGAAGCTCTGAGTTGGCTCCATTGTTTGCTAGCTGTGTGACTTAGAGCCATTGATCTTTAATACAAAGACAAATATTAACATAGGCCTGCTGCCTATTTTTTCATGTAACATTGATTTAGAGGGATGGCATTTGGCTTCATTCTAGTCTGGACCAAGGAGAAAGAAGTCTGATTTTTCCCAAGACTCTTGGATCAATCTGGGGTCATCTCTGAGCAAAATTTCCCTGGGAGAATGCACTTGCTGGTTGTTTTCCTACGTCAACGGCCACTCCTTCCCCTGCTCTTTTGCTGTGTCCTCCTGTTCTTCCAAAACCTAAGGCTCAGTCCTCAGACCACTTCTTTCTGCATGTACTTTGGCTAGAGTATCTCATCCCAGCCATAGCTTCAAATACCGTCTTTATACAGATGATCTCACCATTATCCTCCTCAGACCTCTCCACTGAGCTCCCCACTCACTTAACCAACTGCCCTACTCAGTATCTCACAAGATGTCTAAGTGGCACTCAAACTTAGTGTGGCCCACACTGGTCTATTGACTTACCTGACCCCACTCCAAATCTTCTTTCTTACACGCCTTCCAAGTTCAGTAAACGGTCCCCACATCCATCCGTTTGCTTAGACAAGGAAAACATCTAGGAGATATCCTTGACTACTCCTCTTGCTCTCACTCCCCACTTCCAATGCATCAGCCGGGTCAGTCAGCACTCCCAAATGATTTCCAGAAACCAACCACTTCTCTCCATCTCCACTGTAAATGCATCTAGGCCACCATCCTCTCATGCCCACTGACTCATCTCCCTGCTTCCACTCTTGCTCCTGCCCAGCCCAGCCTGTGTAGCAGCCAGAGCATCTTTCTCAAGCACCTCTCAATTCACACTCTCCCATTTAGACTCTCTGACGGCTTCCCATTGTAACCAGAATAAAATCCAGAGTCCTTACTGTGCCTTTATGAGGCTCAGCATGGTCTGGGCCCACTGACCTCTCTGAGCCCATCTTTCTTGGATGCCCCTTCCCAGGTACTCTGCCCCAGTTGCACTGGCCTGTCTGCCTCTGAAACACACTGAGCTCATTCACTGCTTGGGGCCTTTCCACTTACTGTCACTTCTGCTTTCAAATACGTCTCCTTCTCACCACATGGGTCTCAGCCCATGTCTCATCATCTCAGGAAGGCTTTCCGTGACCACCTCCTACAACAGCCTCAACAGCCATTCACAGATCTCCCATCACCTTAGCCTATTCTGTCTGCTTATACCATTTACCAGGAATTGAAATTAACTTCCTTATTCACTCATTTATGTGTTTGATACTTCCCTCTCCTCACTAGATAGTAAAACTGCTTACAGATGGGAAATGAATATGTCGTTCTCTGTTATAAACCCAGCTCCTACAACAGCTCCCAGCACATGGTAGAGGTTTGATATTTGTCAACCAACAAATAGACTGAACACACAAGGCTCTGTAAGATCTCAGGACCCAGGGAGATGAGTCCGTATTAGGTATTAATACACTGCCTTCGTTACAGTCATAGTGCGTGGTGGTTTTGCATTAGACCAGTTAGGTTCCACATGATCCTTAAGAAGGTTTTCAAAGAGGAAGCAGCAGGGAAACACCTTCTTAGGACCACACATGACCTTAAAGCTGCAGGAGGTGGCTAGTGGGCATCTCCAGCTTGACAGCTGGCTACCCCTGTCAAAGGGGTACTTACATTGGCCAGTCACTCTGGAAAACTCTGGTATTTAACATAGATATTACATACATGCACACACACACACACATACACACATGCACACACCCCAGGCTCCTCCACATGTAACTTTAAAGTTGGGGATGTTGTGAGAGCAACGATCTGAAAGTCTGGTCCAGGGGCCCCCTGCCTTAAAAGGCAGTTCCCTGGATCCCACCCCAAACTATGGCATCAGCATCATAGGACCTGACCTCTTGGACAAGCCCCCCAGGTGATTCTCCTGCCCGCCAAGTAAGCACCCTCGTGAGGCACAGACACAAGAACACCATGAGAGACCTACGTGCCAGGCAGCTGCATGCCCAGGGCAGCAGCAGGGCAACCGGCAGCAGGAGTGCTGCTCTTCCATCCTTCCATCCTTTCATCGGCCCTGGTCTTTACTCAAGCTGGTGGAGAGGCTTCAGGTGAGACGGTGCATATTCAATTCAGAGGGACCGGGTCAGGGCTTTGCTCTCTGTGCCTATCTCACAGCCCAGCCTGACCGCCGAGGTCATAATAGGGCACTGGGTGGAGCTGGGACAGTCAAGACAAGGCAACCACTTGGCAGCCCCGAACCAAGATGTGATGATTTCCATGAGCTGATCCTCTGGGTTGTGACGGTCAGTGTGGAACTGGGGGGCTATAGACAGGGGAGTGGGAGGACTCCATGCTAGTTGGGTTCCTGCAAGACAGGGCATCTCAGATTTACTAATATGTCAGGACAAAAGAGCTGAAGGCACTCCCCAGGAGAAAGGGTCTCAGGCTGCTGGTCCCAACAGGTCAGGCGATACAGTGGTGTGAGCACAGACTTGGACTCCTACAGAAAAGAGGTCACATCACCAGGGGGACCTTAAGGGAGCTACTTAACTTTCTCATATTACTCATCTGTAAAAATGGGGATAATAATAACACTTACAACATTATATTGTTGGGAGGCTTAATGAGCTAACGCATGATTTAAATTCTCTATTAATTGCATCTCTACTAATGTCTTCCAGTAAAGGAAGGCACATTGACTAGCAGTTTCTATGAATGAGACATCATAAAGTACAGATCCATGCGTAGATCAGCTGCAGGGGAGCTTCCATTGATGCAGCTCATTCATTTGTTCATCCACTAGGTTAGCTAGGACTTTATGAAGCATTTTCTATATGCCAGGCTTGGAGGATGATGCAAAGATGAGCTATAATTGTTCTCTGTCTCCTAGAAGCTCACACCCATCTGGGAGAGACACTTAAGACATCACCTTAAGACAATGGGATAAAGGTGTTGTTGGAAGCTGTGGAGGGGTACCCACCCCAGTCTAGGGGGAGTGCTGGTATGTGGTGGGTGGGGAAAGAGGCCATTAGGGAAGGTTCTCTAGAGGAAATAAGCTCTGTCTGGGCTGAATCAATCCACAAAGAGAAATGGCATTGGGAAGGGCAGAAAAGCACTTGTTATGGGTTGAATGGTGTCCTCCCAAAAGTCATCTGTTGGAGTCCTAACCCTTAATGCCTCAGAATGTGACTTTATTTGGAAATAGGATCATTGCAGATGTAATTAGTTAAGATGAAGTCATACTGGAGCAGGGTTGGCCCCTAGTCCTGTGTGACTGGTGTCCTTATAAGAAGGGAAAATTTGGATACACACACCCTCCCACACAGAGAGAACAATGTGTGAAGATTGGAGTTATGAGGCCACAAGCCAAGGAAGTCCCAGAAGCTAGGAGAGTGGCCTGGAATGGATCCCTCCCCAGCTCTTTCAGAGGGAGCACAGCCTTGCCACACCTCCATTTCGGACTTCTGGCTTCCTGAATTCCAGACAGTAAACTTCTGTTCTAAACCACCCCTCTTGTGGTGCTTTGTTACAACAGCCCCAGGAAACTGTACGGCATTCTAGGTGGGCGGAAATCTGGTGCAAAGGTACCGAGGTGCATGGGAACTGTAGAAACTTTTAAATTAAACCATATAGAATTGCTCAAAAATAGACTAATATTGGCAAATCTGATTGGTTCAGCATAAAATATTGAGTTGGAATAATGTACAAGATTAGGTAGTAGACAGGGGTCAATTTATTGAGTAAAACTCAAATCTGAATAAACGGTCTTCCTATGAAGCATCCACTAAATAATTCTCACAAGAAATTACCATAGATGTGACAGGTATGTGGAAAACAAGTATTATTACCGAAGATTGGCAAGGAGCTGTCAGCGCAAATGTGTTCCAAAATTCTATACATAATGGATTTCCACTTTAGGGGAAATAACTATGGGACTTTTTCTTTCCCTAGCTTTTTTGAAGCTTTAAAACTTATCTTAAAAACTCTTGAAAATATCCCATCAGAGTAAGTGAAGGGCAGAGGAAGTGTTAAGAAGTTAGCTTGTGTTATTGGATGTAGAGTTTTAACATACCAAGCATTTACTATACATCTCATAGCTCATTAGTTAAGCATTGGAAATTCATCATAAGCAAAAAATTGGAATTCATCAACCTAATTCATAGCTTTTCTTTGCCAGGAAGGGGCTTGAAATGGGAGTGAAAGCTTCCTTACCCCTGTTCTTTGGAAAATACAATGAATTTGAGCTCAGAAGAGCAAAATGTTGTATTGCAGCTATAAATGTTTGCAAAATTTGGGGCACTGGAGGGCACGTGTTCAGATAAAGTGGAACAGGGTATAGATAAAGAATTCCAACATCACCCACGATCCTGCCCGCTTAATCACATAGCTTCTACGGCCAGCCCCCGAATTCAGAACAGGGGAACACAGCATATGTATTACTTTCATTCAGACCCCAAAGAATCTCAAGATCTCACAGCACGTCAGTAGATGGATTCACATTTTTATCGGAACACCATTGCATGAAGACATACGTCCACTCTGAAACCAGTACACAGTGTTTGCAGTGGCTTTATTCATAATTGCTAAAAACTGGTAATAACCATTACCGGGTGAATGGATGAACAAGCGGAGGTACATTCAGACGAAGCAATGACACTCAGCAATAAAAAGGAACAAACTGCTGATACACACAGCAACGTGTATCTCAAGTGCTTTGTGCTAAGTTGAAGAAGCCAGACACAACCAGCTGTATTCTGTATGATGCTGTTTCTATGACATTCTGGAAGAGACCAAAGGAGAGGCACAGAGAATACATCCGAGTTGCCAGGGGCTAGGATTCGGGGAAGCGGATGGGCTCCAAGGGGCACGGGGGAGCTTTCTGGGGTGGTGGAAAGGTTCTTGGTCTCAACTGTGGTGGTGGTAACAGCCATGTGCATTTGTCAGAATTCATAGAACTGTAAACCTTAAAAAGGTGATTTTACTCAATATAAATTGTATCTCAAAAACCAGACTTTTAAAATGCCTTTGTGCTTTGTGCACTTCAAAGAGCCACTGACGTGAACCACAAAAGAATTGCCCAATTTTTTGAAGGGATTTTTGTTGTGACCTCAAGGGCCGACCACGTGGGGAGAAATTGTTTTAATCCCAGCTTAGTCTGCTCAGGCTGCCATGGCAAAATACCATAGAATGGAAGGCTTACGTAACAGAACTTTATTTTCTAACAGCTCTGGGGGCTGGAAGTCTGTGATCAAGGTGCCAGCCTGTTCATTTCCTGGGGAGGGCCCTCTTCCTGGCTTGCAGACAGCTGCCTCTCTCTGTGTCCTCGCATGGCCTCAGAGCTGTTCACGGACGGAGGGCGAACTCCAGGGTGTCTTCTCATAAGGACTCTAATCCTGTAGGATCAGGGCACCCTGATGACCTCATTTAACCTTAATTTCTTTCTCAGTGGCTCCATCAACATATACACCCCACTGGGGGCTAGGGCTCCAATATATGAATTTTGGGTCCATAACAAATACCCAGCAGACAGGACGCTCCGGTGCCCCCGAGGCCGCAGTACCCGTCGGGATTCTTGCTCAGGTACTGCTGGTGGTAATCCTCGGTGTAGTAGAAAGTTTGTCCCTCCCGGATGTCGGTCGTGATCAGGCCATAGCCGTGCTCTGAAAGAACCTGTGGAGACAAAGTTACCGTCAGGACCCGATGCTGGCAGAGATTGTCCGAAGGAGGAGGGACAGGCAGGTGGGGATGCGAGGGAAGCAGACATGGGTGGCTGGGGACGTGCAGTAGGTCCTTGTGGGCCTGGGCTCTGCCACTTCCCAGCTGGGTGATTCTGGGCAAGCTTGCACCTCCCTGTGATTTAGCTCAGGAGGCTGGGATTGAAATCAGGTTTTTGACCCTGCAATTTATGCTCTACCCCTGACACCACCTCTGCCCCTGGTGCGTGTTAGGAGCCCTGGTTTGGGCCCTGTGGGCTGTGAAACTGGCCCCAGTGCTCTCCCAGGGGAAACAGCAGGACATGTGGCTCCCTGGCTGCCCTGGGAAGAATGGGTATCCCTGAGAGCACTCTAGCAGGGCTGTGATGGGAGGGGACGAATGGGCAGGATGGGGCAGGCAGGGATGCAGCACCTCCCAGAGCTGTCCCCTCTGCTGCCAGCTCAGGAACAGGCCCCCTGCCCACTCACAGGCTGGACAGAGGAGCCCCCACTCACTCCTTGTGGTTCTAGGGAGCAGGGACCCTATCAAGACCCCCTGGAGAGCAGGGGGCTATTTGGGGCCTGGGCTCTGCCACCCGAGGCCCAGGAGCCTGGGGAGTGAGGTCAGGGGAGGAGGTGGCCTGAAGGCCTGTGTCGGGTCATCGCCACCCTCTGTGACCTAGTTTAAGGCCTGGTGGCATCTGCTACCAGGGAAAGAAACAGACACGTAAACACCAGTTGGGGGAGGAGAGCAGAGCTATTTGGGGCGGGAGACAGATTAAGAAATAGACATTGCTCCCTGTGGATTTTAGCCCGTTCCCTCTCCCTTTTGGATTTCAGCTGTGCCCTAATTCTTTCTTGTTACAGGCTGCATGGAGCATTTGAGCACAGGGCTACAGAGACGTGACCCCAGTTTCACTGGTTCCATTTTGGACAGGGGTGCAAGTTGGGGTCTTGGACTTGTCCTTCCATAAGGGAACTGCCTGTTTGTCGACGGTCCATTGGTCTCTTTTAGAGATGAAGTTCTCACGTCTGCCCAGAAGGATGGATCCACTCTTAGTGTTCAGCATTATTTCACTGCTGACCCTCTGCCGAGCCCTATCACAGCTTTCTGAATTTCCATCCGGCCCTCCGAGGCAGAATTGGCTCTGAAACAACAGGCCTGGGGATTGAGGAAGGTGATCTGAGTGTCTCAGTTAGGGAGGATCGCAGAAGGAGACAGAATTCCACCCAGAAAGTTAGAATGAAGGTTCTTCATGAAGGGCCTAGGCGTTGTGGGCATCGTCAAGGGGCCCAACAAAGAGGAATGAGGCTTTCCAGAGACGAGCAGCAGCAGTCAGCCACAGGGCAAGGAGATAAATTCCATAGTTACTGAAGTCCAAGTGTGGGGGAGGGATACCGAGGAGGAACTGGGTCAGGGAGGGACCCTGCCACTGGGAGCACAACGGCCTCAACAGGAAGGCACAGA